TTTATTTTTATTATTTTTATTATTGGAAAGGCAGATATACAGAGAGGAGGAGAGACAGAGAGAAAGATCTTCCATCCGTTGATTCACTCCCCAAGTGAGCACAACGGCCAATGCTATGCCAAGCCGAAGCCAGGAGCCTCTTCCGGGTCTCCCACGCGGGTGCAGGGTCCCAAAGCTTTGGGCCGTCCTCGACTGCTTTCCCGGGCCACAGGCAGGGAGCTGGAAGGGAAGTTGGGCTGCCAGGATAGAACCGGCGCCCATATGGGATCCCGGGGGCGTGCAAGGCGAGGACCTTAACCACTGCGCCACTGCGCCGGGCCCGAAAATAAATGTCTTTAAAAAAAAAAAAAACACAAGAAAAGAATTACCTGAATTCAAGGTACATAATCTAGTCTACTTTCTGATGGCAACCAAAGCACACCTTTATTTGTAACTACACTTCCTATATCCAATGAGAAAGAAAACCCACCACTGTGAGAGAAATCAAAGGTTAATAAGCAACCTAAGCACTGATCTCCATGTCCCAGAAAATAATAAACCAAGTCTAGGAATAGTGAAAGGAAATTCCAAATAAAGATTAGTGAAGAAATGAATAAACTATACTAAGCAATAGCAAAGAGAAAGGAAACACTCATTTTTTGAAAAGCCAAATTAATGAACTTTTAGCTAGATCGAAAAAAAAAGCAGACTCAAGTACATAAAATCAAAAAGAAAGGGAATGTATGAAAATTGCTATCACAGAAGTACAGTGGACCGGGGCTGTCTGTGACAGAGTAGATTCTGCCTGTGATATGACCACCCCATGGGGACACCGCTTCAAGTCCTAGCTGCTTCATTTCTGATCCAGCTCCGTGCTAATGCACGTGGGAATGCAGAGGATGTCCCAGGTACTTGAGTCCTTGTACTGAAGTGGGAGAACTGGAAGAAGCCACTGACTCCTGGCTGCAACCTGGTCCTGCTTTAGCCATGGTGGTCACTTGGAGAGGGATAAAGCAGATGGGATTCTCTTTAATTCTCCCTCTTTCTCTATGACTCTGCCTTCCATATAGATAAAATAAGTCTTCACTGACAAAAAAAAAATACAACAGATCACTAGGGACTACTAACACTAGTTATAAACAAACAACTTGTTATAAATGGTTAATTTCTCAATACTAGCTTACCAAACTAAATCAGGAAGACATTAAAAATCCAATAAGGTCCAAACATAGTATTCTAGTGGCTAAAATCCTTGCCTTGCATGCACTGGGATCTCATTTGGGTACCAGTTTAAGTCCCGGATGCACCATTTTCCAACCACGTCCATGCCTGTGGTCAGGCACAGCAGTAGAAGATAGCCCAAAGCCTTGGGACACTGAATTTGCAGAGAGACCTAGAAGAAGTTTCTGCCTTCAGATCAGCTCATTTCTGGCTATTGTGGACACCTGAGGAGTGTATCAGTGGATGGAAGATCTTTGTCTCTTCTTTTCTCTGCAAATGTGTATTTCCAATAAAAATAAATAAATCTAAAAAAAAAAAATACCTTAGGGCCCGGCATGATAGCCCAATGGTTCTTTTGCATGTGCCAGGATTCCAAATGGGTGCTGGTTCTAATTCCTTCTGCTGCACTTCGCATCTACCTCCGTGCCTGTGGCCAGGGAAAGCAGTAGAAAATGGCCCAAAGCCTTGGGACACTGCAGGGAGATCGGGAAGAGGCTCCTGGCTCTGGATTGGCTCAGTTCCACCAGCTGTGATCATTGAGGCCACATGGGGAGTGAACCAGTGGATGCAAGATCTTTCTCTCTGTATCTCTCTCTGCATATCTGCCTTTCAAAATAAAAATAATCTTAAAAAAAAAACCCTGACAAAACCAATAGTAACAATGTTGAATCATTAATAAAAATTGCAAGCAAGAAGTCAATACCAGGTGTCTTTACTACTAAATTCTACCAAATTAACACCAAAGTTTCTACAATTCCTATAAAAAGTTGAAAGGGAGAAAACAGTTCCAAACTTATCCTGATCCCAACAATATTTAGATTTCAAAACTGGACTGAATCAGCAGTTGGGATATCTTAACCTACATCTGACTGAATTTTTACATTGAAAAACACAATGGGATTGTTCAGTAAAAATGCAATTTCCATTGCTACACAATTTATCTTCTGTATATTTCTTAATATTTCTTTTGAAATAACTTTTCATACCCCAGAAATCTACTTAAAAATATCACATCAGTACACCTGATAAAAATAAAAGTAAGATTGTTAGCATAATACACGTAAAATGAATCCAACATACCAATACACTCATATGATAATCAAACTGAACCTAACCCAAAGAGTAGAAAATGAGGCAACAAACGAAAATCAGCAAACCAAATATTTCACATAAGCAGGATGAAGGATAAGTATCATTAAAATCTTACAGACAATATTCAACAAAGTTCTCCATTTATCTTATTATAACATACATACTTACATATAAGTTTAGCAAACCTAGAAATATTTAGATATACTTCAATATACCTCAAATGAGGTTAATTTCCTCTAAGATATGCAACTAAATAATAGTGCCAACTTTTTACTGTTATTCAATTTAATATTTTCCCAACGGAAGTAAACAAAGGAAGGAAATAAAAGGCACAGAAATAGGAATGCAGATACTCAATTGTGCTTGCTCCCCTGATTTTAATAATAAAACCTAATGAATGCCAAGACTGCATTCAGTCACTAACAAAAATAAAATATTGTTATCTGCTGCAAAATAGATGAAACTGGATATGAAAATAAATCTAACATGTTAATATATATATATATATATATCTCTTAAGAACTCACAGGTGCAAACTTAGAGTGGTGATTTTTACAGGTTGGGAAGAGTGAGGCCTGGGGAAAGGAAGGAGGTAGAACAGCTAGCAAAGAAAGTGAGACAGAAGGAACAAGATCCAGTGTTCCATCCCAGTGCTTATGCAGGACACTGGAACGGAGGATTGGGTGTGCTGTAAAAACAAAGATAAATGGAAAGCCTGGCCCCCTGCTTTACTCAGTTTGTGCTGTATATATACTCAAATGCTGCACTGTACCTTAAAATAGTATTCAAGTTCACGCTGATCAGAATTCACTCGAATTTCTAAAAATCAGAATCATCCCTTCAAACATTGAGCTATCTAAAAACACTAAATAGTCCCAATATACACAGTATAAAATTCAGTTACTGCTTTTTAAATTGCTTATTGTATTTTTAAAAAAATATTTATTTAGTTACAACACCCATTGGTTCGCATGGAAGACAAGGCTGGATACAGAACTGACCCACCAATTGTTAACAACCAGCACGTGTATAAGCTGATTGGGGCGATGGACGGTACAGGATCCTGTACTGGCAAGCACACACAAGAATCAGGTGTGGGATCACAGCACACGAAGTTTCTTTGAAGATCCCTCCAACTGAACCGCTGATCTCAGAACCCCAACCATGAAGAGACTATGTCAGCCAGTGGATTCTGAATAGATTTCATTGCGATTGGAATGACAAGACTGGCAGCAATTCAGAACTACTGAACTATCAAAACTGCTTGAGCAGGTCCCTTGGAGCATGTCTCATATCGGGGACCTGGGATGGGTGGGAGACTGGGTGCGGCTTTTCCCTTTGTTTCTCCCCTGACCCCAGATACAGGGGGGAAAAATTATATTAGTGTAGAAACAATGGTATTACCCACTTTCCTGTAGCCCTTGACCCTTTGTACCCTAAACAGCTAAGTAATATTATCATAATAATAAATAAAAATTAAGGCCCGGCGGCATGGCCTAGCAGCTAAAGTCCTTGTCTTGAATGTGCCAGGATCCCATATGGATGCTGGTTCTGATCCCAGCAGCTCCACTTCCCATCCAGCTCCCTGCTTGTGGCCTGGGAAGGCAATCAAGGACAGCCCAAGACTTTGGGACCCTGCACCCGAGTGGGATACCCAGAAGAAAGTTCCTGGATCCTGGCTTTGGATCAGCATAGCATCGGCCATTGTGCTCACTTGGGGAGTGAATCATCAGACGGAAGATCTTCTCTGTCTCTCCTCCTCTCTGTATATCTGACTTTCCAATAAATAAATAAATCTTTTAAAACAATAATAATAAATAAATAAAAATTTTTAAAATGTGTATTTATTTAGTTGCACTGGAAATTCAGATTTTAGGAGAGGAGAGACAAAGATCTCCCATCTGCTGGTCCACTCCCACAACAGCTGGAGACAATCTGCTATTAAGGCAGGAGCCAAGAGATTCTTCAGTGTCTCCCATGTAGGTGCAGGGTCCCAAGGCTTTGGGCCTTCCTCTGCTGCTTTCCCAGGCCACAAGCAGGGAGCTGGATAGGAAATGGAGCAGCTGGAACAAGAACAGCTGCCCTTCCGGGATCCTGGCGGAGGCAAGCTGAGAACTTTATAGCTACCATGCCAGGCCCCTCCTAATTCTTTAAAAACAATTTATTTATTTGCTTAAGTGTGAGAATTACAGTACAAGAGTCAAAGACAGAAAGACTAAGATCTCCCCTCCACTTGTTTGCTCCCCCATGGCCACAAAGATCAGCAAGGTCCAGTCAAAACCAGGGGCCTGGAATTCCATTCAGATCCTCCACATGGGTACAAGGAATGGGTACACACAATGCCCAAGGAATCGGAACATTTTCTGCTATCTTCCAAGCACAGTAGCAGGGAACTAGATCAGAAAGCGAACATCAGAGTTTCACCGGTCCTTATGTAGAACGCTGGCACTGCATGTAGCAATAAAACATGTCACCTCATAACATCCATCACAAGGATTATTTAAGTACACACAACCTTGTAATCAAAAGTCAGGCTCGCTTTTTTCATTGAACCTCTTGCACATGATTTACAATGATGTTACCTGGCATTTTGTACATGCATCTGCTGGAAAACTAACCTGGAATCTAGATGGAAAGAGAATTACACTGCTTTACTTAAAATGTCTATTCACTTGAAAAGGAAGAATGACAGAAATATAGATGTTTCATTCACTGGTTTAATTCTGAATGCCTTTCCCGGCTGTGGCTGTGTCACACAGACTCCAGGTTCCCTTCTTGCATCTCACATGTGGGTGGGAGATATGCAAGCACTTTTGCCACCACCAGACGCTGCTCAGATGCATTAGGAGGAAGCTGGTTTGAAGGGGCAGAGTAGCCAGGACTTCAGTGAGATGTACTGAAATAAGATGCATTCATTCTACCGCTCCCATACCCTACTTATGCTGTTTTATTCATTTTAATATCCCTGCAAAATTACACTTAAGGTATTCAAAATCGAATTAATTCATCTTAGTTAACAACAGCAACCAAAAAAAAAACCCAAAAACCAAAAAAACCTAAGACCAATGAAACAAAAAAAAAATCAAAACCCAAAAAAAACCATGCTGAGTAAACGTTTAGGCTAGTAGGTAAGGAACGTCTATCTTACATTGCAGTGCCTGGGTTCCACTCCTAGTTCTGATCTTGATTCCAGTTTCTGTGACACGGCCGACCTTGGGACGCAGAGGTGATGGCTTAAGGCACTGGAGTTCTGCTACTCACAGAAAAACCTGCCTTGAGTTCTCAACTCCCAGCTTTAGTCCTGTTCCATACTTTGCAGGTGCGGGAATCTGAGAAGTAAATCAGTGAACCAGATTTCTGATGTTTCTCACATTCTGTTAAACAAATAAAAGAGAAATTATTAAAAAAAATACAATGTGATTTTGGATGTCAGGTCATTGAAAGCATGCTTGACATCAAATGATGGTACAAACATTCACTTTGTCCAGTTCCATACCATTTAATATATACATCTTTATTAAAAATGAAACTGCCAATTATGAACAAAAATGTTACAACTTACAATAACTAAAAGAAATGATAGACAGTATATACAAGATAGGTGAAAAAAATTGGGACAAGAACATACCTGACCTTCTCAAGAAACGGAGCAGGATTATTTATAATTGGGTTTAGATCATTGACAAATGTACATTACAGGCTCTAACGAAACTATACAAACAAAATTTAGTAGACACAATCTTGATATCTTAATAAAAAAAAAATGAAATACAATCCCGTAAGATGCTCAGTTAAAATGAGGATGTGTGGGCATCTGGGAAAGTGGTTGAGAAACTGCTAGGAGACCGTCACTCTACACTGGACCTGCTGCTAATGCACTCAATGGAAGCAGGCAGGAAATTTCTCAAGAATGTGAATCTTTGTCCTTGCTGTCATGGAGACAAATTTTAGCTCCTGGCTCCTGTTTGGCCAGGCCTTGTCACAATCTTACAGCAATTTAAAGAGTTAACTAGCAGAAGGTAGATCACTCTGTCTCTGAATGTTATAAATGAAATACAGGAATAAAAAAAAAATTAGTTTTAAAAAATGATGACAAAAGGAAGTCAGGTGAAAACCAGAGTTGGCATGTTTGATGCAGCTTTTCACACACAATTGGGAGGACCACATGTTTCTTCCCAGTGGCTCTAAATAGAGCAGTGAATTATGTAAAGGAAAATTTTACAGAACTGCAAGGGAAGGTACACACTGACTGGCAGTAATCAGGACAAGTTAATGCTGCAGTGTCAGTGCCCAGCCAGGGGTGGCCACTACTCAGCAGTGTGATCATCATTAGTACTATGTGAAGAAAATAAAGTCACATCAATCCTAGAGAATCACAAACTAAAGAAATGCACAGGGAGGAAATGTTTAGACTCCAGTTCTTCTAACCTACAAACACCTCGTACAGCATCAGAATTTGTCCACAATTCATAACCTAAGAAGTATTGTCCTATATGTAAAACACTTGCCATGAATTAGTACATGAGAAATAGAAAGAAAAAGACTGCCATCAGTATGAAAAGCTAAGGTAAAAGCCAGCATTGTGCTATAATACGCAATATCTCATACGGAAACAGCTGTTCCACTTCCAACCCAACTGCCTTGTTAATCACCTGGCAAGAGCAGTGCAACATCATCTAAGAGCCTGGGCCCTGATCACCCACACAGAAGACCTGGAGGAAGCTACAGGCTCCAGGACTCAACTGGGTCCAGTGCTGCTCAATTGGGCCATCTAGCAAGTGAGCCAGTGGACTGAGGGTGTCTGTCTCTTTTACTTTCTAACTGTCCCTTGAAAAGAAACAAATGTAGATTTTTAAGGTTTATTCATTTATTTGAAAGGTAGAGAAAAACGAGAGATGCTCCATCTGCTGGTTTACTCCATATGGGGTAGCAATTACTGAACCCGGGCCAAAGAAATTAGAGCTTCCTCTGGTGTCCTAAGGGAACAGGGACCCAAGCACCTGGGACACCTCAGACTGCTTTCCCAGATGTATTAGTGAGGGGCAGAATTGTAGGTGAAGTGGCCAGAACTTGAACTGGCACCCATAGCAGGTAGCAGCTTGATTAGGTGTGCTACCACATTACCAGAGAAACAAATTTTAAACAATCAAAAAAATCAATCATCACAAAAACCCAGACTAAGTCAGCTCTAGGGACAGAGGTAAAAGAGAGCAAGACCTGAACTGAAAAAGGCTTTTTTCTCACTTAGGCAAATCAGTTTATATTGTGCATAATATTACAAACATAACAGAAAATGATGGCATTAAGAATTTGTTATCTTTCTCTGAGACCACTGAAAAACTCAAGCTGCATGTAAGACAATAAAGATGTAACATCCAACTCATGGCACACTATTCCTTCATTACTGAGCAAACATAAAAGCACAAGGACATGACAGACAATGAGCTCTGGGAAGCAGCCTGCTTGCACTTCACAGGGAGATGCACTCAGCAGCTTACCCACATTCCCAGGCCTTGGGGATCACTCTCGCTGAGGACACAGTGCCCAGGGAACTCATCTCACTGATTGAAGGAATCTTATGGAGCCAGAAATGTGACATTGTGAATCTGGGAACTCCTCACAGCCTAGACTGTCTCCTCCCTGTCTTACTTCACTTCTACAACCACACATCCAAAACCAAGTGAAGGTGGTGACCACTGGGATTCTCTTTGATCACTTCTAACACCACATGTGTTATGTTGGTTTAATAACAATTTACCACCAACATCTAATGACAAAGCAATTCAGTTCTATCAGCATCTAGAATTAGTTGAGGCCTCAGGGTGAAAGCCCAAACACTAGACACAGGAACAGGTTAATGTTGGTGGATGGCAAGTCTCAACTGTCTGTTTTTTGTGCCCTTTAAGCAGTTAGGTAGGGATCTCACCCAAAGCCATCTCTTTGTAACAGAAGCTTATCTAGGGTCTGGTAGAGGCTTGTAACAAAAAAAATCAGGGCGACTCTTTTATCCAAGTAAATTCCCTGGGTCTTAAGATCCTTGGCCCAGAGAGTAAGCACAAATGATACTTTTTATTAAACCAGTCAAATACACTCACACATGCACACACCACTCTATCACCAGAATTGGACCACTGCAAATATTCTCTGAAATAATTTATGAAACCAGTCACAAATACACTCACAAATTTACAAGTGTTTTAGTCCACCACCATTTTTTATTCACCAAGATTCTTTGTTGGTGCACATTATCCGGTGACGGAAACAACTTGTGATGCAAAATTAAACTGTTGTATGCCCCAAGCACATTATCCTAGGATTTGGCTGAGCCTTTGCCAACATTTTCCTTCCAAGGTGAGGCTGAGAGAACCCAAAGTTTATCAATCATCGCTGCACTGCCCCTTACATATCAGCTTCTAATTAAATGATATTAATATGTCACCAAGGAATGGGACTGTGGATGGGTAAACAAAATACTAATTCTCCAAGGAGTTAGCTTTATAAAATAGATGGAACACAGTGGATGCCCTCCGGTTTTAGGGCATCAGCTGCCACTCTGAATGGCAACCCTCAATCTACTACTATCTGTTAGGCGAATGAGGGAGTCAGGGTAAATTAGTTATGTTTGTTCCAAAGAGTTTTGAACTCAGCAAAATCAAAAACGTGTACTGAGGACCATGTATAAATGTTTCAAGGGAGGATCACAAACTGAGGACATTCTGATAAAATGTCTGCACTTGAGTTAGATAAAAGGAGATGCACTAAGAACTTTTGAAGCTTAACTTAGTTTTGTATATTTACTGTGCTGAGGGATAAAGGCACACCTCTTCATCCACTGTCTCACTTCCCTCATGCCTGCAACTGACAAGGCTGAAGCCACAAGACAGAAAGGAAATTGAGATTTTCACACTGGTACCCAAGCCATTGTCTGCTGCCTCCAAGCCTGGGCATTAGCTGCACACTGCAGCTGCACAGAGATGAAACCCAGGCATTCTGACACAGACACAGGAGTGCACATTTGTCATCTGAACTACTGTCACACACACACACACACACACTCACAAAGCAATGATTTCTTCCTGTGGTGTATCAAGGGGGCATTCACTGCTTTTCTCTCATGCCTATTGTTCACAGAAAAGAGTCCTTTTAAAGAGCTAAGAGTTGCTTTTTTTTTTTTTTTCTTAAAGCAGACAATTTACCGAAGCTGAATGAATTGTATCTTGGGGCATATAGTGGATAGTGTTGTGATTTCTCAGAGCAGAAGGCAGCACTTGGCATTGAGGTAAGAGACTGGCCATCTAGGGATTTATTCCCTGCCTTAATACTCTCTGCTGAACCTGACTTCTCCCTCGAAAATTCTTGGGGACATCTAGTCCCAATTATGAGAACTTAAGCAGTGGGGACAGGTGGCACCATATCAGAAGCCATCAGGAGAAATCAGTTTAGTCAACTGTGGCCTGAACTGCTTCTTCTTCCGGTCCCCTACAGAAGGCCCTTCAGGTTAGTCCCTGCTGCGCCCCCTTGACTTGTCTACAAGCTCGCTGTGCCACCCCAGGCCTCTGCCAAGCACAACGCCACCACCAGATGCTGCCCCCAACCTGGGAGGAAACTGTGAGGTCAACAGGACTGTTCTAACTGCTGGAGTCTGAGCTGTTCTGATATCAGCAACCAGAAAACTGCCCCACACCCTCAGGAGGAGCTACACCGAGGACTGAGCTGGGGGCTGGAGATGCTGTCTCTCAACGAGAAAAAAAAAAAAAATTAAACCGGGCCATAGTCAAATAAATAAATAATAAATAAATAAATAAATGAAAATGAGGGCCCCGCACGGTATTTTAACGGTGAAAGCCTTGCATGCACCGCGATCCCATGCAGACACCAGACCACGTCCCGGCTGCTCCACTTCCCATAAAACTCCCTGCTTGTGGTCTGGGAAAACATTAGAGCACAGCCCAGGGCCTTGGGACCCTGCACCCACCCAAGGCCGCGTGTGAGACGCGGAAAAAGATCCCGGCTCCTGGCCTCAGATCGGGTCAGCTCCAGCCATTGCGGCCTCTTGGGGACTGAATCAGCGGATGGAAAATCTTTATGTCCGATTCTCCGTAAAGCTGACTTTCCAATTTAAACAAACAAACAAACAAAAAAAAACCCGTCCCATCTTTAAGAGAAAACAACAATTAAATAAAGAAAATGATTCAATCAGGAAGCTTGAACATGAAGTCCAATTTTCCCTGATCACTCTCCGCCCCCCGCCCCCTCACTGCACAGTTTGGAAAGCGGGAGTCCTAAGGTTCAGGGTCAGTGCTGCAGAGTCCCGGCCCCTGGCCCCCGCCCGCCCCGGGCCGCGGAGATGCGCTCACACACTCACCCTTCCCGCCTGCTGACCAGTCGGGTGTCCTCCAGAGGCTCCTGCGGGGAGGGAGCTCACAGGGCAGCGCTGGCTCAGCCACCTGGGCCTTCCCGGGGAACGACCAGGGACGCGGCTATGGCGGCTGCAGAAAGGAACACCCCGTATTTCCTGGGCGCGCACAGACCTTGAGTACGTATGGCGTCAGAGGACGCACAGCCAATCAGAATTGCACTGGGCAAGAGGGCGGACACTTGGGTTTCTGGAGGGCGGGGGAGTAGGGGGCGGGGCTTCACCTGAGGTCTGAAGCGCCCTCATCTCCTGCAGCTTGAGCCTTCCAACAGCAGGGGACGCTGTCACCGCACAGATAAGTCCTGCTGCTATCTTATTTGTAATCCTGTTAAAGTCTGGAATCTCCCAAAATGTGTGACAATCCCCAAAATGAGTTACAATTCACCGAATATTCAATAGATTCTGGGACTTGTATTGGCTTTTTACCGTTTTGGTCATGTGGCTTTTTAATATACAGAACTGAAGAATATATGAAAATACTGTATAAATTAATATTTTCCATCTCATTTCTCTTACTGATGTCCATTTTGTGGTCTGCATTTTGTGTTTTAATATTGTTCATATGTTTCTTTAATAAGAGATCTTGCTTATTCTCCCATGTTAAATTTGGTTTTCCATTCTGTTTTATTATCTCTATACATATTAGGATCATTAGTACAAATTGATAGTTCTGCTGTTTAAAACTTGACCTGTATGCATACAATTTCCTTTTTGTGTTTAATTCCCTGATTACATACACATTTTGTGAAGCGCGATGTTTCTGTTCCTGGAAGTGATTGTTTATGTCGCACTTCTCCTTCTTGATGGCTTTGATTGATATTTAAAGATGTATTTATTTATTGCAAGATTTATTTATTTATGCAGCTCAGAGAGAGAAGAACACAAAGATCTCTCATCTGCTGATTCATTCTCCAAGTGGTCACAAGATCCAGAGTTGAACTTCACTGAAGCCAGGGAACTCTTCTTGGTCTCCCATGCTGGTGTAGGGTCCCAAGGATTTGGACCATTCTCTACCTCTTTCCGTGGCCATAAACAGGGAGCTGGAAGGGAAGTGGCACCAGCAGGACATGAACTGGCACCTATGTTTGATCCCAGCTTCTGCAAGGTGAGCCACTGAGCCATCACACCAGAACCCTAATTCTTATTAAGGTTGTTAAAGAATTACTTCAGTCATTGATCTTTCAGTGTACTTGAGGCTATAAATGGGTTCTACTAGATCCTCTCCCATTGTGTTGGTTTATGTGGCATGTTTTATAGTCCTTCCTGGGTTTCAGAAACATATACTAACAAGCCTTGTCTGCCTCCACATATCTCCAGCCTCATGAGCCTGTGGTTATGTCTGGTTTTGTATATCTCTAATTTTCTGCCTGGGACTACAGGTTACCTGCAGTTTCAACACCTAAGGTGAACAGGACCCATGTTCTTCCTTGCATTGTGTCATTTTAAATATGTATCATTTAAAAACAGATCATAAAAACCATTATTCCTTGTGCCTCCAGAATAAGCCAGCTGCATGTAAGCATTATTATTCATCATAATCAGTAATTAATACTTAGAGAGTCCATATTTATGGATAAATTTCTAATTACCCTTTCATTATAACCATCTTATAAATTAAAGTATCAATCTCTTCACCAGTTATTTTTTTTAAATTCTTTCTTTCTTTCTTTCAAACATGAGACATGCAGCAAAACATCTTCAATCTCTTGATTCACTCTCTAGATGGCCTTAATAGCTAGGGTAGAACCATCCCAAAGACAGGAGCCAGGAGCATATTCCAGGTATACTTTGGGGTGCAGAGTCTCAAGGACCTAAGTCCATTCATTAAAAGAAAGGCAGCTTTACAGAGAGAATGAGAGGCCGCAATGACCAGAACTGAGCTGAACCGAATCCAAGAGCTTCCTTGGAATCTCCCATGTGGGTACAGGGTATCATAAACTTGGGCCATCTTCACTTCTTTCCTAGGCCATAAGCAGGGGGTCAAAGAAGTGGATAAGCTAGGACATGAACAAGTGCCTATATGGGATGCCGGGACTTGAAAGGTGGAGAATTAACCTGTTGAGCCAAGGTTGCTGACACATGGCAAACAAATCTTGTGTGAATGTTGTGTGTTTTGTATTTACAGTAAAACCAAAGGATGTAAGTACCTACTGAACTAGTTAGAAACTCCTTTTCCTGAGATAAATTCCCTTCTTTTTAATAACACTGTATCTTATAAACTGATGGCATATTATGCACATGTTTTGTTTTTCTTCCTGTTGTTGGGATTTGTTTTTGTTTTTGTGGCTTTTCACTTGGGAGGATTTATAGTGACTATGTAGTGGAGACTGACATGTCCAGATGTAAGGATATAGTGCAGTGTGCATCTCTACTTTTGGATTGAGGATGGAGACCCAGTGAAACTGCTGAATGTGTCTTGACAATGTGATGCTGGACACATCATGCCTGCAATGATGGACTTATGACTGTTTATAAAGAACTAAGCTGTTGTAATGATATTGGAGATCTCAGTGGTGGGAGGGAATTAGGAAAGGGGATTGGGGAAATCCCAGGGCCTATGGAATTGTATCATGAAATGATAATAAAAAATGGGAGAAATAACAACATTTTGAAAAAGCAAAGAAAGAAAAATGTTGGTGAAAACAAAATACCAGAAGGTGTAGCATTTTGTACTTCCACAACTCTGTTCATAGAAATAACTTCAGAAACAATATGTGTCTTGACCTGGTTGTGCTTACACTGAGTTTAAATATTTGGGACAAGGATATTTGCTCAGATGCATAGCATTTATATAGTTTATGTGTTCTAAAAGAAAGTAAGCATGTATTGTAAATACATATCAAATAGTATATGGATTACAGGGCTTGATATAAATTTGCCTACCATACTAGTTACTTTAGAACTCATTCTCTTTATGTTTACTTTGGCGTGCCTAATGTAAATCAAGTCCTGGGAACAGGCAACAGTCACTGATCTCACAAAAGAAATGGGATGTAACAGTCACTATCAAATGGGAAAACCAATTTGATTTCTTGAACTAACTTCAGTAACAACAGGTATTTCAACTGTTGCATGAGAATAATGAAAGTAGCATGGGTACTGAAATGCTCCTTGAATGAATCAATTGTGATCAATACACTTTGAGCTCCCAGAAAAGCAAATGTTTTATGCTCCTACTAAACATGTTACAAACTACTTTTCTTAACATACACTTCTTTTCAATAAAAATTTCAATAAAATTAAGGTCCTATCCCTTATCATATTTGTAAGGTGACTGCATACGTATTACATTATCTGTATTATATTACATTATTGTATTCTATGTATTATATATTACAACTGTGAAATGAAAGCTATGGGAATACATTGCATACCAGAAGGTGCAACATTCATATTCTAGATTCAGAAGAACTCTACTCTTGGAAATAACTTCAGAAACAATCAGTTGTTGAACAGATTCCATCTATCAGCTTGAAACTTTGGGAAAAGGAATGTTGCTGAGGTACATGGCATTCATGAGAGATGTGTGTGAGAACAGGGGTGAAACCTATGCAGTAAATGCATACAAAATTGGTTTTTCATTCCATGGCTTCTTAGAACTTTGTCTTCAACAATGGAAACATGTTAGAATTTGTGGGAAGTCCTGCAGTTGGGGCAGATGGCACAAGGGTGTAAGAAATATAGCTCACCAGTTAGCAAGGATACAAGGGGTTTCTGCCTGCATGGCAAGGCCAGAAAGAAACTCTCTAATCACCTCATTGCTGCCTCATCCCATTGAATGGATGCTTGATCACCTGCCTGATATTTCATGCAATTTTTTTTCTTTTCTTTTTCTTTGTGACAATCTTTACATAGTTAATTAGGGTAAAAAGATTCAAGGGCTATAGGAAAGTGGGTAAGACTATTATTTCCATATTGTTTCCTTCATGGTTAAAGGTGGGTATTAAGGAAGAAGGCCCACCCAATTTCCCACCCTCCCCAGGTCCTGGATGTAGGGTATGCTCTGAGGTTCTTGCTCAAGTGGTTTTGATATTTGAACAGTTATGAATCACCGCCAGACTTGCTACTCCAAGCACTATGAGGTCCTTGAAGAATCCACTGATTGACATAGTCCATCATAGAGTCTCTGTTTGCCCCGTATTTCGCTGCCAACATATAGCTGAGATGGTTGGTTGACCTGTTCTGTCTTCTCTCTTTTCTTGGTTAGGGACTAGAACCAGTACTCATATGGGATCCTGGTGCGTGCAAGTCTAGGGCTTTAGCTGCTAGGTTACTTGGCTGGGAAAATTGTAGTGTTAGGAGTGAGCTAGAATTAAACACTGGGCTAGTTCTACAGCTAGCACTAGGAATAGGGCTGGAGTTAAGGCAAGTGTTAATTTAGAGAGTAAGGTTAAATTAGAGTTAGAAATAGAGTGACAATTAGTATTACTCTTAGGGTTAAGGTTAGTGTTAGAATTAAGGCTACAATTTGGTATTACTCTTAGGGTTGGGTTAACGTTAGAGCAGGTTTGGGTTAGGAAGAGGATTAGGACTAGAGTTAGGACTATGGCTATGATTAGTGTTCATGTTATGGTTAATGTTAGGGATAGCTCAATGGTTATAGTTATAGAAAGGTTTGCATAAGGACTAGGGCAAAGGTTAGTGTAAGGATTTAGAGCTAGGATAATGATTTCAGTTAGGACTACAGTTGGTATTAGTGTGAGGGTTAAGGTTACAGTTAGGGTTAATGTTAGGGGAAGTGTCAGGGTTAAGACAGGATGAGGAAGGGTCATGTTTTAACATTCATTTGATATTAGATTTAGAGCTAGGGTTAGAGTTAAGTGCTTAGGGTTAGGGCAGGGTTAGGGTTTTAGTTAGGGCATGATTATTATTAGGTTTAGGATTAGAATTAGAACTTGGGTTGAAATGAGCTACAGTAGGGTTACAGTTGAATATAGGATTAAAGTTAGGACTAGGACAAGGGTTAGGATTGGAGTTAGGACTAGATTTAGAATCAGTGCTAGATTTACAATTAGGAGTCAGGTTTGGGTTAGCATTGGGGCTGTGGTTAACACTCACACTAGAGCTAGATGAGAATTAGGATTATGGTT